ACCAGGATCACAAAATGGAAATACAGTTCCTGAAGGACAAATGAGAAGAGGCTTATGGTGACCATGGAAATGCTATTTGTTTATCCCAGGACCACAAAAACAAAGAGTGATATCTTCTCATCTGACTCCATGCAGGCTTCACATGCTTGGGACCTGTTGCTGGAAATAAATATATCAGGCTAAATATGTTTAATACTAGCCCTATAATTATTACGGCCACCTTATTTAACCTGCTATCACAGTTAACAAAGGACACCAGACACCTGTTAGATTTTTTTGATTGTCTTGTTATAACTAGGGCTGGGTGGATAATTCTATCTATTCTATCTTTTAGCCCCCAGCTCAGTCTCATTAAAGAGTTAGAGAAGAGGTGTGAATACTTTTGAATATTTATCAATTTTTTTTGAGTGTGAGTATTACGGAGCCCAGGCTGGCCTCAAAATTAGTATGCAGATGAGGACGGCTTTGAACTTCTGATTCTCATGAGTGCTGAGATTACAGGGATGTCTCTCCACACCTGGGCCTTACACCCATGGCCTCATATATGAAAGGTATATAGGTACTTCAATACATCCCCTGTCTAAAATTGGCGTGAGAACCAAATTTAACTTAAACTCTTTCAGTGTTAGTTAAATCCAATACCCAATGACCTAACTTTTTTTTTTTTTTTTTAAACAACCAACTCTTGGGAGCTTGTAAGAACCCACTTTTCTTCTTTTCTTTATATCATCAAATCCTAGGAGAGAACACGAGTGCACTGCACGGCTCTTTCCTACTCTACAATGCTCTAAATTCCTAACTAGGCTCCAAGAGGCAGATTTGAAGTTCCCCACTTGATCGCAGTAACTTCATCAAAAAATTTCAATGGCAGTGTTGAAGTAAAGGCTGCTGTGAACTTCTGTGCTAAGTCTTGGCATTGTGTTGAGTATAAACAGACTGCTTCTGCCATGAACTGCTGCCACCAATCAACAGTAACATTTTCTTCAGTCTGCATGTAAAATATATCTTGAAAATTCAGATGCCTTTTTAGGTGAGTTGGGTTAAAGAAATTGATTTACAATTTTTTTTTTCAGTCCCACTTGGAAAAAAAGGGAAATGAGTTTCACTTGGAGCATGTCTCCATTTGTCTTTTTCTTTATTTATTAAGCAGAACTTGAGTGTCATAGTTGACACAAACCTAGGGTGACCTGGGAAGGGAGAACCTCAACTGAAGAATTATCTATATCAGATTCGCTTGTGGCCATGTCTGTGGGGGCGTTTTCTTGATTACTCATTGATGTAGGAAGGCCTATTCCACTGTGTGCAGTGTGATCTCTAGGCGGGTGGGCCTGGGCTTTATAGCAAAGGTAGATTAGCAGGCCACAGGAGTACACCATTCCTCCAAGGTGTGCTTCAGTTCCTGCCTCCAGATTTCTGCCTTGAATTCAAACCTTAGCTTCTCTTGATGATGGGCTGTAACACATGTCATAATTAGGGTTACAATTGCTTTGATGAAACACCATGACAAAAGAAATTTAGGGAGGAAAGGGTGATTTAAGGAAGTCATAATGGGAACTGAAATGGGGCAGGAACCAAGAGTCAGGACCTGATGCAGAGGGCATGGAGGGGTACTGCTTACTGGCTTGCTCATTATGGCTTGTTCAGACTGCTTTCTTTTAGAACCCAGGACAACAAGCCCATGGATGGCACCGCTAACAATGGGTTGGGCCCTTCCTTATGAGTCACTAATTAAGAAAATGCCTTACAGCTGGATCTTATGAAGACATTTTCTCAATTGAGTTTCTCTCTTTTCAGATAACTCTAGTTTGAGTCAAGTTAATGTAAAACTATTTAGTCCAACCTGTATGCCAAGTAAACCCATTCTTTCTAAAGTTATTTTTTGGTCAGAACCTCTTGTCCACTGACCCACCCATCCACCAATCCATCCATAGGATTCATTTGCCCATTTACTTATCCACCCACCCGCTCATTCAACCCCATGCTCATTTATCCATCCATCAACCCATCATCACTCATCCATCCATCCATCCGTCCGTCCATCCGTCATTTCACCCATCCATCTACCTATCCACCCATTCAAGAACACCCCCATCCACCCATTCACCCACCCATCTATCCTTACGGCTTATTTAGCTATTTTTTTCCACCCCTTTTCTGTGAGGTGGTGTGACATCTTGGGTTTGACATGATTTTTCTGTATTAAGTCATCAAGGTGTTTTTTTTTTATTATCATTATTTTTAAAGTCACAGGTTTCTACCACAAACTCCTGTTCCACAGATAACTGATTTTTCTTAAATAGAGGGAGAAGGCAAAAATTACTTCAGTTTTTATTCCTGGGTCATTGGGATCATGCAAAAACTTGTTTAAGCAGTGTGCTGTTTGGGGGGCCTCAGGATGACTGTTGCCCCTCTCTCCACTCCCCAGAGATTATTGCCACATCCGGGCTCTGTTATCAGGTATAGAGTCCAGAAGATGGTGGCAAAGCAATGGCAGATGACCTCCAAGGCCTCTTTGAGCAAAAAAGTGTCATGGCTTTTTAACAGGTAGGAACTTTTACAGATAAAGTTTGCTCTCTGGGCTAACTGAAAGAACCGGAGCTTCGAGTCTAGCATGACAGCCCTGTCTCACCTGCCAGCTCAGTGACGGACACCAGGTACGTCGGCTACACTTCCCATTGTGGAACCTGCTTTCTGTTTACGGATCTCACGATGATTTGTGTTCCCACCGATGCCTCATTCACACAGTCTGGATAGCTGATGTTCAACGAGGTCTTGAGTTTCTTACCTCGCTGTGGAAAACAAGGGCATCTCTGTTGTTCAGTATCTCTTGGTTCTACGTGATGGTTTGATAATAACAACGGAATAGAGAACTGAGTCCCAGTGTGGAAAACAGCCAACTGTTGAGGTGTGCCAGAGGTGTATGCGTGTGTGTAGAGTGCAGGCACATGTGTGTGTGCGCCACACACGTATGAAAACCAGAAGACAACCTCAGATGCCATTCCTTGGGCACCATCCACTTTGTTTTTGATACCCGAGAGACTCACTGAGTGGGCTAGGCTGGCTGGCCAGTGAGCCCCGGGGATCCACATGCCTGTGTGTACCCAACGCTGGGATTATGGTTGTGCACCACTAGGTCTGGCTTAGGGTTTTGTTTAAGTTCAGGATGTAAACTTCACAATGACACTTAATTTCTATCCACCTTGGTTTCTTTATCTGAACAAAGGAAAAAAGCAGGGAACCTCCATCCTCCTCATGGGGCTTTGTAAAGGTTAAGCGGATTGATATGTGAGTCAAAGTCTAGTGTCTGCCACAGAGAAAGTCAGGGAATGGTGGCAGTAGGTATTGCTGTTATTGTCAGCCAAACAATTAATAAGTGTGTTCTGTCTCCTGTCCTCAAATGAATCCTGTTCAAGAACTGGGCTTTGCCTTTCCTGGTCATGGAGCAAAGGCATGATAGTTAGAGGCAGGAAGAAGGCGCAGACTTGGGGTACACGTGCTCAAAGTCATTCCCAAGGCATGAGGGGCCAACCAGTTGGATTATTTTTTTTTTCCTAACTGTCAGTAACATATGCTTCTAGTGACACATTCAACAACATGGAACAGGAAAGCAAGCAAGCTCACTACTGTGCAAAGTACTTTCAAAATATTTTATAACTAATGAGAAGGAAGGGCTTTGAAGATTCCCCTCACCAAGAAATGGTAACTATTAAGGGTAGAAAAATATCATTACACATTACACACATGTATCGAGTTATCACACCGTACCCTGTGAGTGTATCCAATTAAAATCAAGTAAAAACCTAACCAAGCAACAGAAAAAGCATGCCATTGTCAGCAGCGTGAATATGGTATTCTCAGACTCTTCCACAAGACTGTTATTCAAATTACACATCCTTGCTTAACTAAGAGTCACACCACTTGTTATTTTTATTCTTCTTTTAAAAGAACTTTTTCTTGGTTCTTTGTGAACTTCATATGATGCACCCCAATCCTACTTATCTACCCCTTGCCTTGTACGTGCCTTCCACAATTACCACCTCCTTCTAAACAGACAGAATAAATCTCGTTTTGGAAGCCGTAGTGTGTTACAGTGTGTCCCACAGTCTACACTTTTGTCTATATGTCTTTGCTTGCAAATGTTCATTGCAATGACTCATTGGTCTGGTCTGAGGCCCCTTGCTTATGCTACTCTATCAATACTGGAGTCTCACTGGTCTCTTATACTCTTATCCTTGGGACTGGCTCATCAGCTCTCCTGCTCTCATGCCTCCAGGGCAAGCTCTCCCACAGTGCCCAGATGAAGGGTTTGGGCCAGCTCTGCACAGCCCTCAGACATCAACATGTTCCTGAGTGTCAACCCAGACTATGGATTACCACTTGGCCTTTGGTGGCAACAGACCCCTGCTGCTGCAAGGCCACAGACCCAGACATGGCCCCCAATGGCAGCCCAGGCCAGGGCTTCACCGTGGTCCCAGTTGGCATCATCAGTTGCTCACATCAGGCTGTTCCTCACTACCCTTGAGTCTCCAGTTTTTCTTCTGTTTATTGTGTGCACATCCTTCTGTTTCTCTTTCTCCTCCATTTCTCCACCACACCTGGTCCTCTTAGAGGCACCTGTGAGCTCTGAATGTCTGGGATCATCTCAGGAATGGTCTCAGGAGTGCAATGCCGGATGTGCATTATGGCTTTGGGCAGGGGTCATCTTGGTCTTGGTCTGCCCCCAGGCCTGGACAGGTCTTAGGCTAGCTCCCTGTCCCTGGCACCAGTCTGGTGGTCCTCTCAGTTTGCTCCTTGCCTGGCCAGCCTTAATGGCTCCATTTGAGGGTTGTCTGTCTTGGGTTCCCTCCCTCCTGGGGGCTCAGGCAGGGTTCCTCTAGTCTCCAGCTTGCTCCCAGACCTGGGAGCCTCTGGGACCTGTGTGGCACTGGACTGGTGGTCACCTCAGGATAGCTCCCCTCGCACCAGACTGGTGGTTGTTTCAGGCTCGCTTTTTTTCAGGGAATGTTCGGTTACTAATAATTCAGGTGTTCATAGATCAGAACGCTTAGGGTAGACATGGGGTCTCTCCTCTCTGCCCCTTATGGACCACACATGTGACACAGTAGCCACACCTGTAACACCCCTAGGGGCAGGTTTGTTACTCTTCAATGGGGTTGTGTCACACACATTTCGGAAATCTGCTTTATTCACCTGCCCACATCAGGAGCGTCCCCTGATGTCTTAGACTCTAGGGCACACTGCCCAAGTGGAGAAGTGACCAGATGGATGGACTGCACTCTCTTTTTTCCCCATCCATCTGGGTTACCTTAGGTGTTGGAAGCAACAAGCACCTTTCTGTCCTTTCCATATCCCTGAGGATGGGGGCAGGCCAAGGTGAGTGCACTAATTACCAAATTAAAGAGTTGTTAAGCGGTTGCTCCCTCCCCATCTCTTCCTCTTTCCCATTGTCCCCCCTCTAGTTTTTCTTTTCCCTCCTTCCCTCCATTCCTCCCTCCTGCCTCTCTCCTGCCTTCCTCCCATCCCACCTTGTTCCTTCTGGGGTATATAAGTATATAAGCTACAATGCTCTCAGACCCTCTCTGTAGCGAGGATGAACTTCTGAGTTTCCAAGTGCTGTATCACAGGCATGCACTGGCCCGCCCAGCTTATTCCTGCCTTCTGGGACACTCCAGCTCTCTCCCCAGCTGTTACTTGGCCCACCCATCACATGTGCCAACTCCTTGCTCTGGTGGTGGAGGTGCCCCACCAGCACCTGTAATTTTTTATGCATCCCTGTCTATGGGATGCCTTGGCCTCTGCTGTTGACTGGTACTCTTCTTCCTGTCCCATTCCAGCCCAAGTCACACATATTCCTGGAAGCCTCGCTTGAATGACTTGGCCACACCAAATTCCCTTCAGTCCAGTGTTGTAGTAAGGAGCCTTTTATTACCAAAACTGCTCACACTTTCAAGTAAAAGCCAACAATGCAAAGCTAATGGACCTAATTATATTTTTATCTATCTATCTATCTATCTATCTATCTATCTATCTATCTATCTATCTACCTATGTAACTATCTATCTTGTCTGTGTTTATGTGCATGTGTGTACATGCATGTCATGTATGTGTGTGGAGGTCAGAGAACAACGTTTGGGAGTTTGTTCTTTCCTTCTACCCACTGTGTTCTGGGGCAGAAATTAGTTCACCAGGCTTGAGAGCAAGTGCCTTTGCCCACTGAGCTATCTCACAGACCTCAATTTTAAGTTCCCCAGAGATTTAATGCCCACTTACTTCCTGCACTTGAGACACCATCCTTCTGGGCCCCACTTTGCCCCTCTGCAGCTTGTCATCAACGTAAGCATGGCAACTTTTCATGTGCTTGTCCAGTGACCAGGTCCATGCTGTTCTCTCCTACTGGGCCGCAAGTCTTAGCTCACCACTGTGGCTACTGAGCCCAGCACATGGCTGGCCTCATGAAAAGTCCTCCATAAAACTTAATGAATAAATCAAGAGCTAAAAGAATAGATTATCTTTGTCACTTAAAAAATTATACCACATAATTAGCCACATTGATTTGGAAACAGAAAATGTTCGAATACTTTGAGGAGATGAGAGGTATGAAGGCCAATTTCTACTTTCTTCCGGAGAAGAAATTGAGAGTCAGGAGGGGAATTTGCAACCCCCACCCCATCAATAGATGGCAAAAATTCAGCTGCATAACCTTAAAACCCTGGCAATTAACTGGGTTTGAAAAGGTCAGCAGTAGTTACGTTCCGATCCTCTGACAAGCAGAGCCATCCGACAGAACTCCACTGAAATTAGAAACACCCTTGGTAAAGTCAATCAGGGTCTTGTTTGTGATGTCATATTGTGGGGGAGGGGGAGGTCATGATTTCAAACTTCTTGGCAGCACAGCTAAGGCTTCCTTTGCAGTCCAGCATGGGTGACTGGGTGTGGTAATGCGTACCTGTGATAATCACAGAGTTCAGGAAGTGGAGGCAGGAGGATAGGCCGGTTAAGGCCTGTGAGTCTTGCTCCCGTTGTCTGAGTGCCTGACAGTAAAGTTAGCTGCTGGTGGTCTGGACACCTGCTCTGCAGATGGTGTCGATACCTTCGGATGCATGAGCATCCAATTTTCTGTCACCCGTTAACTTCACGTCATTTATCAGCGCTCCTCCTTCCAGGCAGAGGAAGCTGAGGCCCAGGGAATGCAGCCAGTTGTCTGAAGTCAACCACAGGTTCTAGAAACCTGTGTCCTGCTGTCTGTGTTGCTTTTGCTTCCTTGATGGATGACAAGAATTTCCCCACAACTCACTCTGTAGACCAGGCTGGCCTCAAACTCAAGAGATCTGCCTGCCTCTGTCTCCTGAGTGCCGGAGCCAAATGTGTGGGCCACCACCACCCGGCTTGTAAGTGCTATTGTTAATCTCAGACTGTGAGTATGGAAGGCTTGCACACTGGGCTGTGCACGTGGATGGAAGAGAAGATGGACGGACATGTACATGAAGACAACAAACAAATCATATAAATAGCCACCATTTCTCAGCTCCTCCTCACATCACTCTCTTTAGTGCTTGCTCCTGTAGCCTTGGCTAAGAAGACATTTGGAAGGCACCCAGAGCAGGTGAGAAATAGGACTGAAAGTCTTTCTAGGCTGTCCTTGTCTTCCCACGTTACCCTAACAGTAGCACTATAAACTGGCATGCGTGCATTCCTGCGTGTGTGCACACATATGAGTGTGTGTATGTGCGTGTATATGACAGTACAAATCTGTCATTCAGCCCTCTGAAGCTTGGGAATTCCAAGATTAAAGCTCTGAGATTCAGTGGCTGTGTCCTGGGATGGGGTGAGGGGTCTCCATGGACACTGACTCCTTTCATGTCCTCCACCACCGACCTAGTTACTTCCCATAGGTCACTGACACCCACCCTTTTCGTGGCAACCTCGCTCTAATGGGATCCTTACTGCTCTCTAGCCGCTGGCCCTTCCCCAGCATGGGTGACAGTCTTTCAGCATGTGTGCAACAGGCACCCTCTGTCGAAGCTTACCATCTCCTCTGGAGTCAGGGCCGACTTCCCATTCCTGCTCTCCTTGCTGACTACCTCCACACTCCCCCCCCCAGACCTTCCCCAGCCACACCAGCTTCCTTTCTCTTTCCTGAAGGCACCCACTGGGCTCCTGCTGCAGCCTGGCCTCACTGATCTTGCTGTTAGGTACGTTTATCTTTCCAGCTAGACAAGTGGACTCACTCCTTCATTTTATGTCTTTTCTCAAATGCCTACTCTGCCTAAAGGCCCATCTGGACTTCTTGCACAGAATGGACCCTCTGTGTTTGTGCATTCTTCCTTGTGACATCTGTGAGCACATGCCAAAGCATGACTTTGCCCATTGTCTGTTTCTTCCAGGATACTTACCATCCAGGCCATGAAGAATTTCCTATGCCATTGTCCACTGTGTTGGTAGCACACAGAATCAGACTCTTGGCCTGGAGGAGGGACTTGGGGAGCAGGTGCAATGTACCTGTGAATGAGTCCTGGTACACTGGTTACTCAAGCAGGTTGTGATATAACGTATGAAGGCCATACTTCAGCTATGTTCTTCCCCAGGTCAGTTGGATGTTTCCCCTCACATGTTAGCTCTGTGAACTCTGACACAACCAGCCAAACCAAAGAAGCATGGTAAGGTGGACGAGTATCTGAACCATACCCGGGTCATGCCCAACTGAGTCTGGGTGTGGGTGACGCTGGTCTATCGGCTGCAGGGTGTCAGGGAACGTAGCGGGTATAGTTTTCATTTCCAGCTTTGAGGAAAAAGATGAGTTCCACAAAGTTCCAGCTTCCTTTTCCGGAATTCTTGGAGGATGTCTCTCCAACAGTGTTCTTGCTGTGGGCATTCCCCTACCTCCAGCAGCAGAGAGGATGGACTCCCACTACCAGGATAAGTCAGAGATTTCCAGGCATCCTTCACAGGTGGGAAGTCTGGTCCATCCTTGCAGCCCACAACTACCTTCCACAAGGACAGAATTCATGACCTGGGGTGTAAAGGGGGTGGCTCGAGGCTGTGCTAATAATCAACTCATTACGACATCTCCTTACCTTACTGAGCTTCAACTCCATAAAGCACGATTTATGGCTGTTCTCACCGAGGCAGGAATCAACGGTGCAGATGACCCAGCCATCCCTCATGGCAACCCAGGGCTGCAGATGGAGGTGGCTACTGATGTATCTGCCAGTGATTTTAGCTTAAAATAAGAATGGATAACACAACCAGAAAGCAGAAAGCCATTTCCCCTTAGTGTTTTTGATCCTAGGATTCTAGGAGAAAAAAAGTCATTTGCGGTTTGAAAACTGCAAAATCTTTTAAAAACTGGTATGTTTATTTTATTTTTATGGTTATGCGTGTTCGCATGCATGTATGTAGTGATCCTGTGCCTGCAGTACCTGCCAAGTCAAGAAGAGGGAAGCTGGATCCTCTGGAACTGGAGTTACAGATGGCTGTGAGCCACCTTGTGGGTGCTGGGAAGTGAACTTGCGTCCTGTAGAAGAACATCCTGTGCTATTAACTGCTGAGCTATCTCTTCAGCCCCGACTGCCTATTAAGAAATCATACATATATTCCTAAGGATACAGTTTTAATAGTGAATTATATTAAGATGCAGTATTTACTAAATTATAAAAATTGGTTAAAAGTAAGTTGACTCAAGTATCTACCATTGCCTGCTGTCTGCGCACCTTTAAGAGAGTGAAAGTGACGATGAGATACAGGCCAGCTTATCCCACAGGCAATGGCTGAGATCTGGCAATAGTACTCATTTCCACTGGACTTATTCAGTTGTTGCTCTGTGTTCTTGGCAAGTGATGCTGGTTTGCCGCTGTGTGATCATGACAGAGAATTTCAACCCAAATCCATGTATGTAAACAAGGTATTGAGTTGTCTTACATTAAGCAGGTTAAATAAACAATAGAAAAGAGAATGTCTATGGTGACAAAATCACAGTGGTGGAACCTGAGGGACCAGCACTGGGGAATTGCCCCAACCTGACTAACTGCAGTGAGGGTAGGGGCCACCGGGTTAGCTATACTCTTGGTTGCCTGTGCCATCTGGTTAGTTCTGGCTCCCAGTTTTGTTTGTAGCTCACCATCAAATTCCAGTGG